ACATAATTATGTTTATAAAATAATATTAATATAAAGTAACTTTTAAGTCACATTGTGTATATAGCAGTCAATGCACTTGTGTACTTGTAAAATCTTCAGTACCTAAACTTTATACATATATTTCAGTCAGATATATGCATATACAGGCATGGGGGCTGTAAAGGTCTCGATCAGCTCCTGTTTCCGAAATCTGATGAAATGGCCAAACGCAAGATTGATTTTTAAAATTCCTTTTTGGTCAGGTTGAGAACTTTTTCCGCATCATTCCATTTTTAATTTCTAATTCTTATGTTTTATTAATTTTGCCTTCAGTTCCCGATGACACCCATAAGTTCGGCAATAAATTTGTATTCCGGAACGAAAGACTTAAAAAAAAATTGAGAAAATACAAATGTTCTTTGTGGTTGGATTTGAGACTGGCCCTTTCCATGCACGATTTCTGCAACTTCCTGCAACAGTACAGCATTGTCATCAGTCGAATCCTGATTCTTATCGGAGCTGGAAAGGAATTTTCTATTTCCAACACACAATTCGCTATCTATGATCCGCTCTTCATTCTGTTAATGGCCAATGTCGACCGCCACTTCGTGTTGTGGCGCAGAATGAGATTGAAAGAAGGGAGAAGCGCTAATCTGAAGGTTTGTAGCCGCCCGGATGACACGGATAAACCCCTGGAACCGTTTAATACCCAATTAATCTGGAGTAGTAAGTAGATTATATTCGCCCTACATTTCTGTCTAATTCGGTCGATTCATATCTATCTATCTATCTATCTATCTATCTATCTATCTATCTATCTATCTATCTATCTATCTATCTCAGTATGGTCATTATCTATCTATCTATCTATCTATCTATCTATCTATCTATCTATCTATCTGTCTGTCTAGCTAGCTATCTTGCTAAGTCTGGTCATATCTATCTATTTAGCTAACTAGCTATCTGTTTCTCTTTATATCCATCTATGCTAAATCAAGGACATTTGAATTGTCTTGCCGTGATTTCATTCTTTGAAAGTCTCGCGAGAAAAAAAAGCTTTCTAAAATGAGTCAATAAAATCAATTATTAATTTTTCGTGGGTTTTCATTAATCATTTGTAAATCGCTTTTCAAACATTTAATAATCATTTTAATCTATGAAAGCGTTTTAATTTTCCAGAGCTTGTCAGAGAGAACGCTTTGCCGAAATTCATAAACTCGCATGAAAACCTATTCTACAAATATGACACGGAAGACATCAGCATCTATGCAAAGAAGCTTGATAAGGAATGCGGTGTGCAGAAGATGAAAAACAGTTTGTGGCTGAAAATTGAACTCTTCGATAAGCTCACTTGCTCAACGAAGATCAATATTGTTATTACAATTCCTCCATCACATAGCAAGCAAAAGCATTTCGTTGTCTACAAGGACTCGATTTACGTGGCTGATCATCTGAACCTTAGGAATAATCAAAAGTTCAAAGTCTGTAAAGATATTTCGACGCTGATGGAGAAATACCCGCATCTCCAAGAGAACTCTTATATTAATCTAACATTCAAGCAATCGAGAAAATGTTTCGGAATGAAAAAGAAACCAGATTATGCCGTATCCTTTGTTGAAGGTACGTAGACCGCAATCTTTCTTCTTTTTATGTGTAGTCTCCTTTCAGGAGGTAAACGATCATGGACCTCCACATCTTCCTGTCCCTCGTAGCTCTTACTAAGTTTTGTCTTTTTGTTACTTCTTCCAAACCCTACTCTACCATCCACTTACTCAATCTCATCAAATATATTCACTCTTTACCGACAAGCAAGGCGGGTCAAGTTTTCATTCAAGCCAAAATAAATTAATGGACTGCCATTAACAAATATCACAGCAAAAGAACTTGGGGAAACTTATATAATGCACGTCCTAAAGCTAGTAGCAAATTTTATTCTGGGTGCAGGCCGAATACTGGTCGGGTCGCCCATCGAAGAAGTCTGTTGTTTATTCAGACAGACTTCTAGCGACATGGGAGCAACAACACTGACGACGTACTTAAATTCGGCACTTAAAGGTGTATTTTTAATACTTATTTACCGAAGGTTAATAAAGGCATAGTATTTAATTACTTTATTTATTTATTTTTTTGTTTTGTTTTCAGGGGAAGAAAAAGAGTGATATTGGATGGGTGACTTTCTCTTGGTTCGAACATCGGACGGTTTCTCGAAGTCAAATCAATCATTTGTCCTTATGACAACAAACGAAAGTCCTGGACATGTTTTGTGGTTATTTTCTTGATGTCAAATAATTTTTAAAAAATAAATTCAATAATAATGTCGATTAAATGCATTAAACGCAATTCAAAGTGTCTTATTTTGTTTTTTTAAAGTCTCTGTATCGTCTTCAATGTGACCTGTCTTTACAGGAGGTAGGCGGTCATGGCTCTCCACAACTTCCTATACTTAACTTCTCTTTTTACCATTCCTCGTTCCGTTATTCATTCACACAAACTGGTCAAGTAGCTGACCCTCTGCCTTCTCTTGCCCTTTTTTGCCTTCATGTCATCTATCCTGTTATTTATTCCAAAGCTGGGAAGGGCAAACATGGATACATGCCTTTCCCAGCGGCATTAAGGTGAAATGAATGCAACAAACTAAGCCATAGCTTCTTCTTCATCTTTTATGTACCGAGTTCCTTCACAGCGTGGGTGATCACAGCTCTCCACAGCTTCCTATATTTTATAGCTCTTAATAAGTTCTGTCATCCAAGTTCATTACGAAGATTACTCTCTTCTTTCATCTGTCCCTAGCTTTTCAATATATCTTGTGAGTGTCAGATTCACTAGGCCCTCTTTCCTCATATGAGTCCAACAAATTTCTGCTGTCGCTTTCTGATACTAAGTACAAGTGTTCTTTTTAGTCCAATTTTCCTTATAGCAAGTATGATCAGATTTGCTATAAGGAAAATTGAACTCAAAAAGACACGATAAGGTCAAAATTGACAGCTACGGTCTGTTGTTAACTGGGGCAAGGAATGGCTTGTTAATTTTAACGCCTCCAAAACGAAACTTCTCATTATCAATCACCTGAAAGACCACTTTTTTGCCTCCCATCTGTATGGCTGATGCTAACCCCCACAAAAGTGACACGTTTCACCTTCTCGGGATCACGTTCTCTGATGACATGAAGTGGAAAGATTATATTGAATCCATTGCTGGGGGTGTTACTAAGAAACAGGTTCACTGTGTCGTGCTAGACAATTTGTCCCTCCAGAATTTGTGTTACACATTTATAAGTCTTGAATATTGCTGACACATATGGCCCGGTGCTCCTGCTGTGTATCTAGAGGTTCTAGATAAAATTCAAAGAAGAATCAACAATATTATTGGTCCTGACCTAGCATCTCGGCTTCAGCTCCTTTCTCAACGCCTTAACGTAGCTTCCCTGTGCCTTTTCTATAAATACTTTCACCGTAGTTCTTCTCATGAATTTTGGTCTATGGTAAGCAGACTTTATGAATTTAAGTGCAGTACTAGATTGGCAGCAAGGTCTCATCATTTTACAGTTGAAATGGCTAGATGGAACTGTAAATTCTATGCTAACAGTTTCTTTAATAATAAAAAAGAACAGTATAAAGAAACTGAATGGAATCAGACATGCCCAGCCATTTATAAAAGAAATCAAATGCCTTTTCTATAAATACTTTCATGGTAATTCTTGGACAGAACTCTTTGCTATCATACCTAGACTTTATGAATTTAAGTACAATACGAGATTGGCAGAAAGGTCTCATCATTTTACAGTTGAAATGGCTAGATGGAATTGTAAATTCCGTTTTGAATAGAAAACCAAAAGACAGACTCTATTTGGTTTCAGTGAGAAAATGAAAGAAAGAAAGGAAGATTGAAGTATTTAACGTCTGTTTCAGTGAAACAGAAAAAGTTTTTAATTTTAAATCTTTTCATTTGTATCCCCTTACTTCTTAAAAGAACAACCAGCATTCATATTTCTAATTGTTATTGCAATATTTTGTTAAAGTTGTTAACAATGTGCTAGGGAAATTTCTATGGATATTTTATTGTCGTAGAACTTGCTATAAGCTTATTCAATCATAAACTGATGAATTAAGCTTCATCAGAAAATTCAAATAGTAAAGCCATGAAATGGCTTAAAACTAGTAAGAAAATAAATATACTAAATAGTTAGCGAAAGTCATCATTCTTTCAGTTGTATCATTCGGATCATGTTACCAAGTCAATATTAGTAATTTCCCGCCAATCTTCACACGTTACTCCTTGCAGAATAACGAGTCTCGCATTAATTATTACTATATCCCGTCCAACACCCACTCTTTCCCGACAAGCAAGGCGGGTCAAGTTTTCATTCAAGCCAAAACAAATTAATGGACTGCCATTAACAAATATCACAGCAAAAGAAACTCTGATTAAAAATCTACAACTCGGCGGTGGAGGCCTTACTGGTATCATCACCCATTATTGGTCCATAGTAAACAATTCTACAGTTTCAAAGGTGGTGAATATCTCGCACAAGCCGCACTTCACCTCAACATCATCTCCGCTCAGGACGGGAGGTCTTCACTCATTCACTAGGGACAGCATTATTTTCTTCCCCAATCTCGCAGAAGAATCTAGTAAAAGTGGCCTGAAGATAGCTTTTCACAGCAGTTGCTTTCTTGCGACTGACTTGTGGAGAAATTTATTATGGTAGCACGGTGGAAGTGTAAAGACAATGGACATTGCCTGCAAGAATTCTGGGCAGAAAAATGAGATCAAAGAGAAAGAATGAGGGGGGAAATAGAGAAAAAGAGATCTTGAATGAGAGAGGGAGGGAGAAGGGAGAGGGACATGGAGAGAGATCTGAATAAGAGAGGTGGAGGGAGAGTGGGAGAGAGAGAAATAGAAAAGAAATTAAGAAATACTAAAGAAAAATGAATAATTGAAACAAAAAAGAGAAACAGGCGAAAGAAATCATTTTAAAGAATGAACAAAATAAATTTGGAAAAAATAACTCAGAAAGGAGGCTAGGCGGAGAAAGAAAGAAAGAAAGAAAGAAAGAAAGAAAGAAAGATGGAAGGGGAAAAGTAAGAAAGAAAGATGGAGGGAGAAAGAAAGAAAGAAAGAAAGAAAGAAAGAAAGAAAGAAAGAAAGAAAGAAAGAAAGAAAATCATGAAGCAAGACGGAGGCCAAAAAGAAAGAAAGAAAAACGGAATGAAGAAAAGAAGGACGCCGGAATAAATAAATAAATACCGTAATCCTCTGTGTATATATCGCTTAGGGGTATAAGACGCATGTAAAAAGAAAGCAGAGAAATTCCAGGGAGAAAAAAATTATTTCCATGTATAAAACGCACCTGATGCTAGAGCAAAGAAAATGACCAAAATGCAGTGTCCAATGCTCAAAATCTGCCCATGGCTTTATTTAGTCAATTAGTAATAAACAAAGTTGATATGCGTCAAGAGGTCATGAGTAAATCTTGAAAACCTCTAGTATTTAAAGTGACTTAATTTTCTCAACATGTCAACACTTAATCAAATTTGTTATAACGTTATGTAAGATTTATCTCCCTTTGTTGCAATGCGCCATTGAAGAGATGTTATCTCTTTGGCAAACAAATAAATCCAATTCTGACCCGATTTGGGCCGTTTTGAGTCCTGGTAATAATGGGATTGAGTTCTAAAGTAAAGTATACGATTTTGGATGAAAAAAAAAACCTGTGTCTTACGAAGACAGGATAATAGTAAGTAAATAAAGAAAGTATGAAAAAAGAAAATTCAAAGAAGTGAGTGAAAGAAAGAAAGAAAGAAAGAAAGAAAGAAAGAAAGAAAGAAAGAAAGAAAGAAAGAAAGGAAATAAATAAAGATGAAGAAAGAAGAAAAGCAAGACGGAAAGAAAGAAAGAAAGAAAGAAAGAAAGAAAGAAAGAAAGAAAGAAAGAAAAGACGGACGAAGCGGAAGAGAAAGAAAGACGAAGAAGGAAAGTCAGACTGAGAGGAAAATGAAAGAAAGACAGAGCGAAAAAGAAAGAAAGAAAGAAAGAAAGAAAGAAAGAAAGAAAGAAAGAAAGAAAGACGAACGGGAAGAGAAAGAAAGAAGTAAGAAGTAAGAAGGAAAGCAAGACGGAAAGAAAGAAAGAAAGAAAGAAAAAAAGAAAAAAGAAAGAAAGAAAGAAAGAAAAAGAAAGAAAGCGACAAAGAAAGTAAGCAAAAGAAAGAAAAAATAAGAGAACTAATTTCAAGAAGTTTCTGATGATTATTCTTTTGAATTGGATTCAGTTGAATTTTCGGGCAGGATTTCTTGTTTTATGTCTTCACCGTCTTTTTGTGAGGATGCCGCCATTTTTTTGGCCTCAACTAAAAGAGAAGCACATTGTTTGTGATTATAAGCCTGGGCATAATCCTCGGCTGTCCAGTGGCGCAATTTGTCACGCCATCCAATGTTCACTTTCTGATCTAAGAGATAACGGACTACAGCCGTATGTCCGGCCCGGGAAGCTGCAATCAATGGTGTAAGACCGTCGTAAATATCAGGGCTGTCAGGATTTGCGAGACCTTTATCACAAATCAGACGAACTATACAAAGATAACCACGCATACTCGCTTGTAATAATGTCTGGGCTGACCAGGCGGCCATTGATGACGTGTTGTTGTTTCTGAGGCAGACACGAAATAAGTAGTTAGTCACTTCCGCTTGATCAGCTGAACAGGCGGCAAACAGCGGTGACGTGTTGTTTACATCTCGAGGATCTGCGTCTGCGCCGTACTGTAGAAGAATTTTAACGCTGGTGAGGTTGCCGTCTACAGCAGCGACATGAAGAGCAGTCTGGCCGGCGGGAATCAACCGAGTTTGCACTTCTACATCGACAGGACACGCGGCGTTGACGTCACATCCGAATTCCAGTAACATCTCCAAAATCTCTGGTTGTTTGCAAGCCCGGAACAGAAGTATGTCGTCCCTTCCATCTCCGATACCTGTGGGTGAGTCGGAGATTAAGTGTTTCATGACACAGGCCCGGTGTCCCTTCTCCACGGCCGTCTTCACGCCATGCTCCTCACAGCCGTCAGGACAAGGTCGTATGGTTCGCTTTAAGCGAGGGCCCGTGAGAACCTTCGAGTGGGACCGGTGAAGTACTGACGTAATCTGCCGAACGGTTCGGTTCTTCAAAGAAAGTCGTCGTTTCAGACTAAAAAGAAAAAAAAACAGAACAGCTTTTCATAAGACGTATGTAAAGAAAATATTTTTAAAGTTACAATAAAAACATAAAGAAAGCAACGTAATTTCTATCTGAATTTCTGAGATGAGAAATTATCATTATTTACATTACTTACATATGAACTATTATCTTCATATTTTTTGTTGTTATCACACTCGACAGGCGTATCACATCGGGTCCGTACCGATTCGATAAATTTTGTTTAAATTTCTGAGATGAGGAATTACCATTATTTACACTATTGCCATTCAGATTATTGTCCTCATCATTATTGTTATAACTTCAACAAAAATAGCCCCACCACTGAAATTTAGACAGAAATTATCGAAACGGTGAGGACCCGACATGAGACACCAATGGAGGAAGATACAACTGCCGACATATTGTGATAGCAACAACAACGATGAAGACAATAGTGTAAATAACAAAGCAACGATTATTATTATTATTGTTGTGGAGTAGCGGAACACCCCCACAAGATGGACTGATCTAAAAAGATAAATAGTATGCTCTCTTACTCAGGGGGGAGTTGAACAGAATTTCTTGTCGACCCTCTCTGCCTCCGAGCAGAGAGGAACCCAGACGAGGTTATACCAAAAGGTCTTGTCTGGGAAGGGAGACAAACCCGACCACATGTATACAGGGATTACAAGGAAATTTTCCCCGTGCCTATAGGCTCGGAACGCCTCACGTTAAAAACTGGCCCCCCGGTGGGGGGGGGGGGGCTGCGGGTAAATAGCGAAGCTGAACAGAACTTCTTGTCGATCTCTCTGCCCGGAGGCAAAGAGGAACCAAGACGAGGCTATGCCGGAATGTCCCACATTAAAAACTGGCCTTGTGCCACATCCCACCTTGTTTGGAGGCTTTGAGTAAATACTGAAGTTAAACAGTACTCACTCAGGTGAAGTTCACAATTAACTGTTATTCCAGTAGACTGTTTTCTCGACTGTTAGTACAGTATTAGTCTTCGGAATAAATTACTACGACTTTTTAAATGTGTATCGACTTATCCATTTCACGATGCAACAATTATTATTATTATTGTTTTTATTTCTGGCGTGTACACATTTCTTTTCGGTTCCCCCCCACCCCATAGACCCAAGGTTAGAAATGTCATCATGATACTTTTCCACTGACAAAAAAAAATAAAAAAATAAATAAATATATATATATATATATATATATATATATATATATATATATATATATATATATATATATATATTACATAGATAAAGCCCCTTCGTAAAGTGTGGGCTGTACTTGTGAGAACAATTTTTGTATTTCTTTGAGGCATGAGCTTCCAGGAATCCCTTCAATTAATCTACTGGAATCTTTTCCAATCTATCCGAGTGCTCCAACTACAACTGGAATTATTGATGCCCATCCTGTGCTACATTCTTGAGATTTCCACTTCAAGATTCTTGTATTTTTTTTTTAAGATCTTCAAAAATACATTACAATCTGCAGAAAACACATTTTATTTTTGTGGTCAAACCTGAGGTCACATTTTGTTGCAGTCTACGCCAATTTCCAGCTCGTAAGTTTTGCCTTTGACAGCCGAAGCAACTCATATTCTTGGCCATTTTCCACCTCTAAAAATATATCATGACCAAAACAAACCAAATAAAACTATACCACACAATTTACATTATTCGGACTATTGACCTCATCTTTGTCGCCATATTTTTTACAACGTTTCGGTCGTTGTAAGCTCCGGCCATCTTCGGGTGGTTGGAATGTCGAACTGAACCCTTTATTTCGATCACTGGGGTAGACTGTTCTAGTTCCACGTTCCCTGATTGAATACACATGGTACAGTGGATAAAGGCGTTAGTTAGATCCAGTGACAGGACCCAAAGAGTGTGAGTTCGATACCCGGTTAAGGCAGTGGAGAACTTGGAGAGGGAATTAACAGGATATAACTGACAACCAACATCCATTAAACACGTGGAACTAGTACCCCAGGAACGAAATAAAGGGTTCAGTTCGACATTGCAACCACCTGAAGAAGGTCGGAGCGTACAACGGCCGAAACGTTGTAATAAATATGGCGACAAAGATGAGGACAATAGTTCGAATAATGTAAATAGTGTACATAATACCTCATCTCAGAAATATAGACAGATACTGAAAGGCCGAAACGTTGTAATAAAATATGGCAGCAAAAATGAGGACAATAGTTCGAATAATTTAAATAGTGTACATAATACCTCATCTCAGAAATATAGACAGATACTGAAGGGCCGAAACGTTGTAATAAATATGGCAACAAAAATGAGGACAATAGTTCGAATAATTTAAATAGTGTACATAATACCTCATCTCAGAAATATAGACAGATACTGAAAGGCCGAAACGTTGTAATAAATATGGCAGCAAAAATGAGGACAATAGTTCGAATAATTTAAATAGTGTACATATACCTCATCTCAGAAAATAGACAGATACTGAAAGGCCGAAACGTTGTAATAAATATGGCAACAAAAATGAGGAAATAGTTCGAATAATTTAAATAGTGTACATAATACCTCATCTCAGAAATATAGACAGATACTGAAGGGCCGAAACGTTGTAATAAATATGGCGACAAAATTGAGGACCATAGTCCGAATAATGTAAATAGTGTACATAATACCTCATCTCAGATATATAATCACGAAAACTATACCAGCTTGTAAGAAACACCTCAGCCCTTTCTTTCTCCAGTATTCATGACATTCGTACCAATTTCTGCAGTGTGGAATCGTTTCTCTTGGAATGTTCTCCAAACATCCTAGGTCTCTGTTAAACTAATCTAAACTCTTCAATCCATTCCAGTCAATTTGCTGTTCCTGGTTATCTTCGTCTCTTCCAAAAGAACTCTAGTGTCTACATTTATCACCTCGGTTTCTATGTCTGCGAACATTTCCCACTGGCAAAGAACTGTCTCTTGAATCTCCAAATTGTTCTTACATGAGCTTCCAACTTTCACTATTAACTTCAACTGTATCTTCTTTCTTTATTGTTCCGCCTCCTCTCCGGATTGCTGTTTGCTAGATAGAATTTCTGATTGTATAGGTAAGGACTTCTCTCTATACTTGTCTGCAAATATCTTTGTGTTTGGCAAATTCAATGCGAACCATATCCAGTGGCTTAATCACTCTTGGCAACCCTGACCAACGCGGTATTCTCTAAAGACATCTCTGTAGTCTCTTTAGGCATCTCTATAGACATCTATATAGGCATCACTATAGTCTCTATAAGCATCTCTATAGACATTTCTATTGTCTCTATAAGCATCTCTACAGATATCTCTATTGTCAAATATCCATGATTTTTGCTATCATTTCTATCCTTGCATCTAGAGTGTTTCTGATCTTCATCAGCGATCTTCCCGATGCCATTAGTTCCAAATAGATATTTATGCTGATGACAGAAATATTTACTCCTATCTTAGAAGCAAATTCAGCAGATCCAACAAGGACGTCCAATCAATGTTTAGCTTGAACAAGGCATGGTTTGTAAATTTTAACACACCCAAAACAAAACTGCTTTAATTTCATCGCCCCAGAGGACCTTTTCTACTTGCCATCAGTATGGCTGATGCTTACCACAAGAATAGCAACTCCTGGGCTCACGTTTTCTACCGACATGAAGTGGGGTGATTATAACTGTTGTATAAGAGTAAGTGTCGTTGCCGACACTGTGGTTTGAAACTAAATCGTCAGTGAGTAACACGGTGTTATAGAGTAGTTTCACAGTGGAGGCTTGTATTTCATTCGTCGGTCCTAAAAAGAGGTTCGACGTACAAAACGTTAGGAACTTGAAATAATAGTTAATGACGCAGCAATCTAGTTGTGGTGGCTGATACTTTAATGTCCGACATCGACTGACTCACCAACTCACTGAGCTCCTTCGCGACTGCTACTACTACTACTTATTATAGGTGGGAGAGTCTATTAACTATATAATAGGTGTGTTCCAGTATAACACACGGGCAATTTAATTATCAAGTAGATCACGTGATCATGAAGAAAGTGAATAAATAGGAAGTAGTGTGATGATTATATGATCACTGTTCACCCTTCTTGTTTATTCACTATTGCTATACGTTCACTCACTCTACTTCTATAAAGATTTCGATTCTTTTCTGATCATTATACTATTTGGCGATTACTACTTGAACAAGTATTACTAGTGCAGATATTATTAGAAGGCATTACTACTAATACCGGCGTCTATGAAGTCTCGAATATAATGAGCATTTTTGTAAATGATAACAAGCTTTCACGTGATATAGCAAAAGTGACAAGTGAAGCCGTTCAAAATCGCAAAAGTGGCAACGGGGATTCGCAAGGAATCACAAAAATAACGAATCAATTGCTAAGTCAACCGCTAGGAATGTTGATCCACTGTGTCGTGCCAGACATTGTTTTTCTTATCAGAATGCACCGTGCACATTTATAAATCTACCATTCATCCATGCATTGAATGCTGCTGTCATATCTGGTTTGGGGCTCCTGGTGTACATCTCAAGATTATTGACAAAATCCGAAGAAATCGATCCTGACCAGGCATTTCGACTTCAGTCGCTTTCTCATCGACATCACGTGGCTTCCCTCTGTCTTTTCTACAAATATTTTAATTGTAATTATTGGACGAATGTGAGAGGTACATGAAAGCTCTAGAGGAGGGTAACAGAGAAGAGAAGAAGAGGAAGGCCTAAAAGTGAAGGTTGGGATTAAAATTTAACAGAGAGAAGTTTTAAAGAGAGGGGTTAAAAGACAGTTTAAATGAGTGAGATACAGATAAATATGAATTATTTTCTGATGCATTATTCATTACTCTATATTATATTTTAATGTATTTATTTATATATTTATATATATATATATATATATATATATATATATATATGTGTGTGTGTGTGTGTGTGTGTGTGTGTGTGTGTGTGTGTGTATTAACCACTAATCTTACTTATTATAAAACGTAGATTTGTGTGTGTGTCTGTACGTTTATATATTGGATCGGATTTCCTACATTTTCAACCGATTTCAATAAAACTTCACAGGACTACGTAAAATTACCTTGTGGTGGTTCTGACAGTGCCAAAAATTGGAAAAACACAATTGTTTTTGCACAAAATCAATTTGAAAACACGATTAAGAGGCATTAATGAAAGGGGGACACCTCATATCAAGTTATACTTATTAATATCGAGTTATCGCGTTATACTTATTATAAAACCCAGGTTGGTTGTGTGTGTGTGTGTGTGTGTGTGTGTGTGTGTGTGTGTGTTCGTTTATATATGGGATCGGATTTCCTACATTTTTCAACCGATTTCAACAAAACTTCACTTATTTTGGCAGGTAGTGTTTCTTATTGTCTTGCACACGTTTTTCTTTATTTCTACATTCAGAATGCTTTAAAAATTCCATTTACAAGACAATTGTTTATAATAAAATTCTATTCAATCGATAGACTCATAACGATTGAAAACAATGTTTTCGTGAGTTTGGGTTTGACCGATTCGTAAAAAAAAAAAAAAAAAAAAAAACTAATTAAGACATGCGTGTCCCTCAACCTTAAACAATAATCTTTGTCAGTTTTATTTTTCAGTCTTTATGATGGTCGATACTTGATCTATCTTTTACTGTTACATACCCGGGCAACGCCGGGCTCTACTGCTAGTATTATCTATATATCTATATATCTATGTCTATAAGGCGATATCTAATGTTTAAAATGCATTTTAAAAATGAAAAATATTTCTTGAAGATTTTAATTTTGTTTTAATTGCAAGCTAATACAATAAATTTAATATTTACAATAAGCCGACTGAATTTAAAATGATTGGAATGTGATTTTTTTCCCCGATTATCCGTAAAATCAATAAAATCGTCTATTATGATAAATCTGTCATCACAATATCTATTAAAAAAATCTTTCAAAAATAAAATATAATTTTCAGAAAATTTATTTGAGAAATATTAGCTCGTTTGAAGGGTAATTAATGTGAATTAAAACAAATATTACTTGCTCTTAGTTTAACGAGTAATGAATTGCGTTTCGGATTGAGGAATCTGAGAACCAAGTTCGAATTCCAATAGAGTTCATTGCATTCTCTTACATGCAAATATCCTTGCGAAAAGGCTTGAATCTATTTCTTCTCACCCTCCCTAGCAATGGGTAAAGAGCAGGACAGACTGGATTCTATAGCCTTTAGATGGTAACCGGTCTAGAAGAAGAAACATTCCAAATTCAAAAACTGTATGTAGTGCTGAAGAAGTACCTACCATTCATAAAATTAAATTACTGCGATGTAACAAATGTAATATATATATATATATATATATATATATATATATATATATATATGTATTTTTTAAAAGATTTTCTAAAAAGTAAAGTAAAAAAAAAAAATTCATTCATTAATGAATAAGTCCTGAAAGTTTAATTAAAATCGAACAATTATTTGATTTTTGCCAGAATTTCCAAATCAATGTATTTTTCAGGGAAAATAAACCCCAGAAAACGCTAAAATATCCCTTAAAATTTTATACTCCTTAGATTAAGCTAACAAAAACAAAACAAAAAAAAATCATTAAAATTTCACTTAAAATTTTATGCTCCATAGATTAAGCTAAAAAAAAACACTAAAATTTCCCTTAAAATTTTATGCTTTATATAATCTATAAAAAACAAAAAAAACCAACAAAAACACTAAAATTTCCCTTAAAATGGTATGCTCCCTAGATTAAGTTAAAAAAAAACCCAAAAAAAAACATTAATCCCCTAAAATTTTATGCTTCACATAATCTAAAAAAAAACACAAAAAAAAACACAAAAAAAACCAGCAAAACAAAAAACAAACAAACAAACAAAAAAAAACAACAAAAACGCTAAAATTTCCCTTAAAAATTTATGTTCACTAGATTAAGCTAAAAATAAAAAAGGTTTTAACCAAAATTTCCCAGGATCTAAAAATGATAAAAAATTTACATAAAAAAAATCCTTTGATCTTTATATTTTGACGATTCAATTTCGATTTACGTTTTGGACATTTTTTTAATCATGTACCCTTTTTTAGCGAATTTTGGAGGTACGTATATATATATATATATATATATATATATATAGATATAGATATAGATATAGATATAGATATATATATATATATGTATGTATGTATGTATCTCCAAGTATAGGATTGGTGTATACGGAATAAATTTCAATAACCAACAAATACTATTCTTAAAAGAGTGCTCAATATAGAGTAGAGCAAATATAATTATTTATTCAAAAATTATAACATAAATATGTTATAAAATCACTACAAAAATAAACATTTTGTTTCAACACTTCTGGTGTCTTATCAAGTGATGAATGTATATTCTACATTCAACACCATCACTTGATAAGACACCAGAAGTGTTGAAACAAAATGGCTATTTTTGTAGTGATTTTATAATTTTCGAATAAATAATATATATATATATATCAGATGGCCTGACGATTGCGTCTAGCATGAAACAGTCTGTCGCCTCTAAGTGTTGACTTCAATGTTCACTTTTATATTTACACACGCTCTATCTCTGATATTGAGCATTTATCCCATAAATATAGCACAACTTAAAACTATATTTCTTTATATATATATAGTCGACTCTACCGTCGAATTCGACGTATGAGGGTCAAGCAGATCAGTTCCCAGGAAACCGACAGCCCGACAACAGCACATGAGATTTGATTATAGTGGTGAAGGTTTCGTGCAGGACCATCCACACTTTTTGAAGGGCCGAATACAGGGACCTGGTGCACTACGTCCCACAAGGTCCCCAAACGACCCTCCGCAGGTTTTGAATTCAGAATTGTCCTTCTCCTAGACAAGTTTCCATCCAAGGTTATAGAACCCAGAACACCTTCCGAAGGGTATTAGCACGTAAGCGAATGTAATGGATTTGACTGGAATTCGAACTCGACTCTCCAATTCCTTAATTCCAGCCGCTATCCATTTCTCCACCGTGCCTCTTCAAAGTGTGTGTGTGGGGGGGGTGGCAATAAAGGCACTATACAGTTACTTATAATAAAAAAGCAAATCATTGAAGCAGGTAGCTTGCAGTTCAAACAGAATCGGTAATTAATTTACTATTGTTTACCTGAGCATTTTATTGTAATTAACCAGAATTAACCAGAACCAATTTTAATAAGAAATTTCTGGACTGTTGCTTAAT